GCCCTGGCCCAGGCTGCCCAGGGAGGCTGTGGAGTCTCCTTCTCTGGAGATATTCCAGCCCCGCCTGGACGCGGTGCTGTGCAGCCTGCTCTGGGTGACCCTGCTTGGGCAGGGGGTTGGGCTGGGTGACCCACAGAGGTCCCTGCCAACCCCTGCCATGCTGGGATCCTGTAATGGGGATGGGGAAGCACAAGAGCAGCCTATGTGCTCATTTGTGCCAGTGCTGGAGGGCTCAAAGCCCAGAGGATCCTGTGGGAAGAGGGCACAGAGTGGAGCTGGAGGCACCCTCTGCTCTTGGTCCCCCGAGCTTCACCAGCTGTGGGGGGCACACGCTTGGGGACATGAAACGTGGTGTGTATGGGTGGGGGCTACCCGTGCCCAGTGTCCCCCCAACCTCACAGAGCCTGGGCCGGGCAGGGCCGTACCTTGGTCCTGCTGCTGATGAAAAGGTCCAGCACATCCTGACGGACCTGGTCGTAGTTTTTATCCAAAAACTTGTGAACCTGGCAAAGAGAAAAACCTCGCGGTGAGGAACCTGGTGGCACAGCAGGGCAGGGAAGGAGCTCCAGGCTGGGAGGTGGGGGCCCCAAGCCGGACTCCCTGGGCTGTCCCTCACCCCCTGGTACACGATCAACCCCCAAAACCTCCTCTTGAACCCTCCTCCAAAGCCCAGCTGGGCATCCCGCCGCTGCACACCTGGTAGGTCACCTTCCCCGCGTAGTGCTTGATGGTGAACTCGGGCAGCGGCATCTTCGGCTTGGTGTACAGCGGGTTCGTCCCGTGGTGGTAGTGACACTTCTGGAGGAACGTGTGGTCGGTGGCCTGGGGACGGAGGCAGGGGTGGGACACGGCTCGGGCAGCCCCAGGGGTGCAGGCACCGGGATGGGGATGGGCAGACCCCGCTCTCAGCTCTGCCACCCAGCAGCCAAGTGCTCACGGGCAGCTACTGCTCCGTGCCTCAGTTTCCCCATCGGGAGAGAGGGTGCAACCACCCTTCTCCCTTTCATAGGGCAGCTCCAGGGGGTTTGCAGTAACTCCTACAAAAGCAAGCTGGCCGGTGGCACTGACCTGGCACCTCCTGGGACTCATCCAGCCTGGAGAAACTCAGGCATCTCCCAGGTTGTCCAGGACAGCCCAGGAGCGGAGCAGCCCTGGGTCACGGTGTCACCCTGGGCACGGTGA